ATAGTGGTGAATGCTCATCACCTACCTAACACCCGACCTAATAAATATTTACAAGTTTGAACATTCTACCTCAATTGAAACCGAGTACAATGTACGTGTGTATCAAAGACAGATAAAGGCAGAGGACAACAATTGAGGTTTTGATTTACAAATTTATCCAGGTAGATGATTTAATTGATACTTGAAGTACATGTTTAAAGCTTAATCTTGATTGTCAATTTTTTTTGATTTATGAATATACAGTAGGTGTTCACAGTACACATCAGGTTATTATTTATTTTCTTAGTAATAATAATATAGTGGTTTTCTGACCTTCAAAGAATATGTACATTGTACCTAAGCTTAAACAGGTTCACATAAAATATTGACATTAACCTACGTATGCAAATTGTTTAAATCATAAGGAAGGGTATATGAATGACGACATCAACGAATCACATTTAATGACAACTGACACTTGAAGGTCACTGAACCAGTAGTGAACATATCTGAAATTTAAATGATGACAAGGTTGTCACAATATATACGCAGGTTAGATGAAGAATGCTCTGTCTCTTATCTTCAATTATAAACCTATAATGGTAAATCTCTTTGGGGTATATTCTATGCCCAGAATAACTTGCGGTCTGAAAGTCGGGGGTACCTTTGGATATATACAGGGGAATTTTTACCAACCTGTCAATTTTAAAAGCAGATTTTCAAGTTCGAAGTTGAGAATGAGAAGTTTTACCACCTATCAGAATGGACATGTTGATCACATAATTTGATATACTGATTTCATTTTGAATATTTTCCCAAAGAAGGGACATCTATGCTGATATACAATATATAATTTTTTTTGACGGTTGGGAAAATATATTGGGTAAACCGTCTTTTCCGATATTTGTATGTATTTGAGAAAATAGCACATACATGTATGAGGTTTTTCTGGGATTAACATAAGACGGTTTATAAGCAAGATAAAGTCCTTAACTTCGGTTATGCTGGGGAAGAAAGACCTCCGTCTTGTGCTTTATTCTACAAGTATGGTACCAGTACTGTGTATTCTTTATTTTTTACATTTGAACCAGTATTGTACATGTACCAAGTGTTGTTTTCTTGATTTTTTATATTATAAGCTTATTCTGTAACTCCACGAACAGATGTGATCCAACTGAACATATTTCTTATCATAAAGTAATTTAAAGTAAAAATATTTCCATGCATGACCCAATATAAAAATAATCACACCTGAGTCCAGAGAACTCTTACAGCAATTCAATAAAAAATATGGGAATTCCTTGTAATATATTGTACTACATGTATGATTTTAATTTTTGGACCTGGAACTGTTTTTTAAAGCACTATTCATCTTGTTGATCATAAAAGGCTAAAGCTCTGCCAATTCATTGAATCCAAGTACAAATGTACATAATACATGTACATGTACACTGTATGCACTTGGCGTGCTTGCTCCTGCTCATTGGACAATCGATTGACAGACTTTGTTTTTGATATGCCATCACAATTTCAAGATGGCTACACATATAAATACTCAAATTCATGCTACCATCCATGATGGGGGGATTTAATTTGCAGGGCAAGTTTCTGTGTATTATCAAAATTGAGTCATTGACACAGTGAAAATATTGATGCAGGTCACTTTTGATGCAGACAGAAGTCCTACACTGTGAAATTGAAATAAAATGGGGTTTAACATTCTGCTTTTCTGCTACAATTTACATCCAGAGGATAAAAGAAGACGGTCTCAAGCTATGCTGTGTGCTATGAGGGAAATTTTGCCGGCACTACAGCCTACTAGTACCCGTATTCCAACTGTCAAGGGTTCTTTTATGTACATGTACCCCACACCAAAATCTGCACATGGGGCCCTGGTTTTTTGTACCATCCGAATGACTAGACATTGTTCCTTGCCAGACCCTGACTCTCATCTGCACCGCTGATAAGGAGAAACTGCACCGCTGATAAGGAGAAACTGCATCGAAAAATCCTAAGGAACTTTCTCTGCAGAAACTTGCATCGAACCTAGAGGACCTAAAGTTAGCACCCTACCCACTGAGTCACAGCAAAACCGCCTCAGTCCGCCTGCAATGTAGAGCGTGAAATCAATTCAATGGTACCAAATTCATTAAGTCCCTATAATGTTTAAAGGTCACCGGAAAAGGTCATAAATTTTTTAAATAATGCAAGTAATTATGTCAACATATCCTTTCCATAAGTACATGTATAACACGAACCCGAATGTCAATATTACATGTACCTGCAACAGGTACATTTCAACATTAGTAATTTCCGCCATTCTCCGTGGGTACATGTAGTTGTAACTTTCCGTAAATAAACAATTAATGTACAGTATTTCATCGAAAAGTATGATCATACTTTTCGATTACATTTTAATAAAAATACGTAACATCAATTAAAATCAAATTACCATACTAACAGTAATGTAATGTGGTACCAGGAATAACTTATAAGCTTACATTTGTTGCCAAACAATGTGTGGATGTTGTAAGAATAGAGGAAGGGTAGACATAGCAGAAGAGTAGTCAGTTAAAATCACTTCATTTACATGTAATTTACATACAGGTATGATTATTGCTATTTTCTTAAAATACCAAAGCTATATCATTTAATTAATATGAACATTTCTTGAAGTGATTCAAAGACTAACATAAGGGGATAAAAAGGTCTTCAAGGACAATGATAAAAATTATAAATGCACTTTAATCAAGTGTAGTTAGTATGATTTGCTAGTTATATTAAATACATGTCATATTTGTAGATAACCGATTTTGTGTATCAACAAACAGTCAAACACCATTAATTATATTGAACAGTATTCTAAAATTCTATCAAATTTATTTTAACATGAAACTTTATTTCTTTTTAAATTGAACTTGAGTGCAGTGTTTTTGCATTAGTGCAATGTAGCTCTAGTGAATGCCCAGCAATGTATTTTGGAACCAGGACTTGGTTGGGTTGGCAGTGGTTGCATTGCATAATGAATCGTCTTGTTGCGAAGCTCTTTAAAAAAAAGCCTTTATTAGGCTCCGCCAATTCGTGTACACAATCGACATGAAACTTGGACTGGACCTCATCTTCATTGGCACAGCTAGAAATGGGTTCCACTATTGAAGTCTTCCACCTTACTCCAGGCACAGTAGTGGCTCGTCCTACGGAGTTCCTTTGAGCAAGTTTTTATTTAGTCAAATGACTACAAAAAGTTTACTGGCCTATACATACATGTAGCTTCCTTAATTTACACATAAACGGATCCCTAACTGTACTGCACATACAGCTCAACATTTGTAAACCAATTCTATTCCCATTGAGTTAAAGGTGAAATCTTACTGCATAATTATATGATTTGATGAAACACAAATGTTACACGAAATTTCTCTCCTATTCATTATCCAACTTAAAATGTCCGCCGAGTCCGAAATAGCATGTGCACTCCATCTCACGTGATCATACGTCACTTTCCATATACAGCCTTCATGTCCATATGCTAATGACTTTAGTGTGGGTAAAAATGTCCGAAACAATAATAGACTGTGTGTTACGGAGGTATTAATTTCTCGCTCAAACATGAACAAAAGTTGATTATTGACTATGTTGTTCAGAAGTCGGATGTAATGGGCGTCTTGCCAACTTGATTTGGCAAATCTATAACATTTGTGATGCTCCCATATTCTCTGATAGTAATTACAAAGCGTAGGGACAGGGCCTTATAAGGGAAGCAATGGACATGGTTAATGTGTCGCGATATGTGGCGAGATTTCACCTGGCTGGTGTCATGGTGGCTTGTGTACATTATAAGTATAAGAAAATTGGTTTGAAAATGTAGAACGCATTATCACAAAGAAAAACTGTTCGGTAACTATTTTAGTGGTCCAGTCATTGTTTTTTAAGGCGAGCGATCGCTCTCGAGCACCTGCCGCTCACCTGAATGTTGACCGAGGGGAGTTTTTTTTCCCTTCCCTTAAAACTGAAAATCGCTCTCCTTTACATAGTTATTGTGGGTTTATTATCATTTGTGAAACCAGGAATGACCCCATTACATGCAGTCATTGATCTTAGAATCATTTCCCATGCACATACAGTAAACTAATCACTCTCCTTAATATCAGATCACTCTCTTTAATTTCTAAATCACTCTTCTTATCAAAACTGGGAGAGTTTTTTGAGGGGAGCGATTTTTTCAATTCGTTGATTGAGGGGACCTTTTTTGGGCTCTCCTCTGAAATACAAACAACAACAAACTGTGGCACCATAGCCTACTCTTGTATTGAATTCCAACTGTAAAAGGAATCTTTTATGTGCACGCCAATGTGTACATGGGACCTCAGATTTTGGTCTCATCCGACGCCTAGACAACTGTCCTCGTCAGACCCTCCGTCCTGCATCACTGACAAGGGGGAACCACAATTGCTCATCGATTTATGGACTTGATAAATTGATAATAATAATAACATCAGAATTCAAAGGTGGTGCCGAAGAAGTCTCTATCCTGAGCATCCTGGTTCATACTTAATTTTGTACTTTTCTAAATCAGTATTTTTCCAGGTGGTGACTGATATCCATGACTGATAATCCATTTTTCTTACTGTGTAAACAACCAGTACACTAGTTTCTTTTCATTGTATCAGGTCTTTAAAAGATATTAATTTATATTCAACCTTTTGTATTGATCTTACAGTTACACTGTACAGGCTATCGTGCCTATATAATCTATGTTTAGTGTAAGGTTACCTTTTAAAATAACTAGGGCAGTATTGATAAGTGGACAATAAACACTTAGTTGTATTGTAAGATTAGACAATTACCTTGTATGGCTTCATTTGATTACCTAGAAATAAATAACTTACCTATGGCTATGGGTAACACCTGTTACCTATTACATAAACAATAACATAATTAACATCAAAGTAGGTGCACATAACGGTAGTTAATGTATAATTTGGATGTAGGTAGTTAAATAAATCTCGGTGTAATCTTACCTACTGCAGGAGCATCATAAGCATCCCCCAATAATATCTCGGGTGCTGAATAAGCAAGTGAACCACACGATGTTTCTAACTGCTTCCCTGGATTAAACATATTACTGAAACCAAAGTCTGTTAATTTAACTATTCCTAATTTCTCGAAGAACACAACATTTTCTGGCTTTAAATCCCTGTGAACAACATGAAGTTTGTGACAATAGGAAATAGCTTCCACTATCTGCCTAAAATATATCCTGGCAGCACTTTCTTGGAGACCTGCCTTGTGTTTCATAATATAATCGTACATATCACCACCATCGCCCAATTCCAGAATCAAATACAACTTTGTTTGAGTATCAATCACTTCATATAACCGCACAACATGCGGGTGTTGCACAAGTTTCATGCATCTAACTTCTTGGAATAAATGTGCACGGGATACTTCATCTAATTTTGTTTTATCAATGACTTTCACCGCTACTTTCTCGCCAGTGAAGACATGTCTTGCAAGCTTCACTACGGCAAAATGGCCTCGACCGATTGTGTCCTCCAGATCATATAGTCCGGCTATCTTGCCATCGTAGTCTCCTCGTTGTTTTCTTGTTGACATTTTGGAAGTTTGGGACATGACCCTGACTAAAATTCACAAATTCATAGCGCCTAATTGTTTTCCGTGTTGTCAACGATATCCAGCATTTCGAGCACTTCAGCTGCCATCAGCTGAATCACGCGCAGTTTTTTTGCGCATGACGCACGTATCACGTGACGGTCGATATTGCCCAGTTGATGAATGAAATGAGGGCGTTATTGGGCTAGTGCTTCTACGGTTGTTCCTGCTGTATTAATAATACAGTAGTATTAACTGACTTTTAATGGTATCAGCACATTCTTTACGAAAGGCATATTCTCCTGTAAGAAGAATATAAGTGTTTATATATTTTGCTATGAAATGAAATGGGGTTTAACGTCCTATTGTTCTGCTCCGACTGGGCTAATGAAGACGGGGGGGAAAAAGCAAACAAATAGGTAAATTTTTTAGGTCGTTATTAATCCATAATATATACTATTTAAAAAATATTTGAGAAAGTCATGTTTCATAAATTAATATAAAGTAATTATGTGATTAGAGCTAAATCTCTTTGATTTAAATAAATTATTCTTGTGTAAAATTGGTAAATGATGGGAAAAGCTCTATACGATTAATTTTATGTTGAAAAAGATTTAAGGGGAAGTCACTTTACTACTTTTGTTAAAAGTTTAGCTTACAGTTAGACGGAAAATGTTCAAGGAAGACGGATCGTAATCTCATCAAACAATTCACTACATAAAATCGTTTATTTTTTATTTTTTTATTTTTTTGCCAGATCAAAGAGGTCTAGTCATCTTAATACTGATCCTTTAAACAGTGAACTTAATTATTAAGACGATTTTAGTGCTAATGATGGTAAACAATACCCAATCAAATTAAATAGTTTTAAAAAGTGAATGACCAGATTAGTATTTCTATGTATATAAAGAAACATTGTACCTTTAATTAGTTCTCGGGTTTCATTTCATTACAGCCGGACAATACCATCCTTTATTCCTTATATATGCTGGTCCAAGGCGAACTTGTCAACATCTTGACATTGACTGCAATTCATACTGCGATTATGGATTAATTGCCGATGAATCAATCCAGACTTTTATCCAGTTCTTAGTATCTAGGAGGGTGTTAATAAGCCTGTCGTTGGCGAGGTTCACTCCCATTTCGACTACGTCCCATTTCGACTACAAATTTTATTACCCTCAAAATCCTGACCTCCCAATAGAAGGTCAAATACACAAACCAGAAAGTGTAAAATAATGAACAAGCAGCACAGAAACCACAAAAGCGCGCACTCTTGAACAATTTATAGAAAAATATCACCAGTATAATCACAACAGATAATCCAAAAACGACATTCCTCGATCAATTATGCTAATTTATGTCGTATTTAAATTTATATATATTAATAATAATAATAATGAAGTTTTATATAGCGTCTTCTCCATGTTGACACATGCTCAAAACGCTTTTTGTAATGGCTCTACTGGTAAAACTGTTGAAACAGGAAAGTCTTTAGTGCGGATTTAAATTGATTAAAAGTTTGTTGATTCTTGATCTGTTGTGGAAGTTCGTTCCATAATCTAGGACCAGCTGAACTGAAAGACCTATACCCATATGACTTCAAATTATATCTTGGAACAACTAGTGACTGTTTATTTTGAGAGCGAAGTGATCTAATAGGGTTGTAGTCATATAAGAGTTCAAATAAGTATTGAGGAGCTGCATTATTGTGACATTTATACACTAATGTTAGTATTTTGTATTTGACTCGCGCCTCAGCAGGTAACCAATGTAAAGAAGCCAGCACATTCTGGATGTGATCAAACTTATGTGTCCTTGTTACTATTCGGGCTGCAGTATTAAGAACCTTTTGGATCTTGGCTAGAAGTGCTTGTGGGATTCCATAGAGTAAACTATTACAATAATCAATCCTTGATAAAATAAGTGATCTCACAAGTAGTTTACAAGCGTCAGCAGTGAGATAGTTTCTGATGTTGCATATACAGCGTAGATGATAGTAGCATATACGGCATACCATATCAACCTAAGCGTCCATTGTCAGATAAGGATCAAAAATCACTCCAAGGTTTCGAACATTTTTGGAGAAATTTATTTCTGAATTACCAATGGTGATTTTAAGATCAGGTAGTAACTTGAGTTGTTGTGATGAACCTACTAAAAGAGCCTCTGTTTTATCGTCGTTCAACTTTAGTTTGTTCGCTTTCATCCACTGTTTAACTGCCAGCGAACAGTCAGTAGTTTTTTGTAAGGCATTTCTGATTAGCATAGGACTAGACACACCAATGAGTTGAGTATCATCGGCGTAAGAGTAGTGCCTCTGATCATAGCCATCGATCACAGACCCTAAAGCGGTTGTATAAAGAACAAAGAAAATGGGTCCTAAAACACTGCCTTGCGGTACGCCACAGTCAAGTTTAAACGGTAGAGATTTAGCCTCACCAAGTAGAACTGTTTGATGTCTATTACTAAGATATGATGTGATCCATAAAAGCGGTGTACCGGAAATCCAAAACTGGTTTTTAAGTCTATTGTATAGAATCTGATGGTCCACAGTGTCGAACGCTGCAGATAAATCCAAAAGAGTCAAAGATGCTACATTCCCTGTATCCACTGCACACTGTAGGTCGTTGAGGACCCTCAACACAGTGGTCTCAGTGCCATGGTGGGGTCTGTAAGCAGACTGAAACTTATCCAACAACTCATATTTCGAGATATGGGATTGAAGACGGAGATTTACAGCTCTTTCCACAATTTTGGAAAGGAATAACAAGTTAGACACAGGTCTATAGTTTTTGAGAATATTGGGATCAAGAGACTCCTTTTTGATTAGTGGTCTCACCACCGCCTGTTTGAACACCGATGGGAAACATCCAGTACTTAAACTTAAGTTGACTAATAGAGTAATAACAGGAAGTAGAATGTCGAGCAGTTGAATGAGTAGCTTGGAAGGTATCGGATCAAGTGGACATGTCGTTTTGTTGGCGGATTTGATGATCTTTAAAATGTCATCCTGACTAAAACTCTCAAACTCGTTGAGTGGCACGACACCAGTCAAGTTCACGGGTATACACGTATTTGTATCACTAAGGACTCCATGATCAGTAAACTCCTTTCTAATTTTGTCAATCTTTGAGGCAAAAAAGTCAGAGAAAGAGTTTGCCAATTTCTCGCGATCATCTGAATGTGGCTGAGTGGCTGTGGATTTGGTACCAAGCAATGATTTCATGAAGGAATGACACTTATCAAGAGAGTTGGCATCTTCAGTCAGTTTTTCAAGACAGTAGCGTGACTTGGCCTCTCTGATAGTTTTAGATACTCTGGCTCTTTCATCAATATATAAAATTGCCGATGTACCTCAAGATGAGTAGACCTCCATTTCCGTTCAGCCAAACGACGACTTTTCTTTGCATCGCGTACCTCGGTGTTATACCAGTTAATGCCAGGTCGAGGTATAATCTGTTTTGTAACGATTGGAGCATGCTGATCCAGGATAGTGAGCAGCGTCGTGTTGTACAGGACAGCAAGGTCATCTGGATCTTGAGGAGGGTTACAAACTAGGTCAGATGAAGCAAGGTCAGCGCGGAAAGCGTCAAACTGAATAGATCGTATTGACTATTATATTGAATAGGTAGTTCCTAAATCTTCATTAAATGACTAAACCTCTTCAATGTGGATCAAAGGATCAAAAATATAATTGTCGATTTCCTCGGACTTCATATATAAATGATGTGAATTTGTGTTTTCTGAAACCAGCTCGTCGTCGTCGGACATTTTACAACATGTATAGATAACGTCAGTGTTAGGATATGCATGATGATTAGTTCTATATTTGACACAGTAATAATTGTATAGGGAGAGCCTTCTCCGTCAATTAGTGCTATAATATGACCAGTGTCTGTGGGGGAGGGGGGGGGGGGCGTGCCGCGTTCACTCAGGGATCTTTAGCAGTTCGAGCAAATTGGAGAATACGGTGAAAGTTCATCGGGTCAGAGTTAAAGGTTTAGCCGCTTTAACCTTCAGGAATTGATAAATAGACTATTAGGAATCCACAAAATAAGCGATAGCTCCACTAGCAACGTAAAAAAACGAAAGGAGAAAGCAATCGCATGAATGTCGACTATGTAAGGTTTATAACCCAAGAAAGAATGATGAAAAAAAAATGTAAAAAAAAAAATAAAAAAATACTGCGCACTACAGAAAATTTTCATCACATACGAATCGAACAACACCACACATAACTATATTCATAATAATATGATGACATACGAAACTATAATAATGACGTTAGAGTTCCATTGGTGACGCCAATGTGTCGTTTTTACCATTTTTACTTTTCAGATATTAAACATACATTGTACAAGAGCTAAATCTGTCTATTGCAGATCTTTCTTTAGGCCTGAAATGTTATTTAAATTATTAAAGATACATTATGGGAGATTCGGTAACGAGTTGGCAGTTCTCACTATAATAGTTAAAAACTAGATAATGTAAAGGCAATTTAGTGAAAATTTCATTCAAATTGATCCACTATGAACCGAGAACTAAGCGACTGAAATTCCCATAAGCCTCGGTCATCATTACTAAAGTCAGTACGATAAACAGCATAGTCTCGATTATCCATTTAATCGTTTAATAGAGAAGGAAAGTTATGCAGTAAATCGGCTTACAATCCACTAAAGATCGCAGGCTAGCGCTGCCATCTAGAGTTGATTATGGCCTGGATAGGTTAATTAATGTCTAATTAATAATTTAGATAACATTTCAGGCCTAAAGAAAGACCTGAAATAGGCAGATTTAGCTCTTGCATAATGCATGTTTAATTAGACATTAATTAACTTATCCAGACCATAATCAACTCTAGATGGCATCTCTAGCATGCGATCTTCAGTGCATTATGAACCGATTTATTGCATAACTTTCCTTCACGATTTAACGATTAACTGGATAATCCAGACTATGCTGTTTATCATATTGACTTTTAGTAATGATGATCGAGGCTAGGCGGAAATTTCAATCGCTTAGTTCTCGGTTCATAGTGGATAAATTTGAATATAATTTGCAGCAAATTGCCTTTACATTATCTAGTTTTTAACTATTAACGCGAGAACTGCCAACTCGTTAT